CTGGGTTTTAGACATTTTCGCCTGTTTCCTTATACCTGTCGTAGTTCTTCTCCCTTTCATCTACAGTGTTGGTGGTGAAAAATTGAGGTATCGAGTTAATTGAAAGGGATTTTCCGCGATTTGGTGGGAGAGTAGTAACTGCGCGACTTGCTACTCCATGCGCTCACCCGGAAGTCATGAATTGTATGTTTTTACATGAAATGTATCACATGTGTGATCTTTAAAATAAACATAGAATCTAACAGTAAAAAAATAATAAAAGTCATGCAAACCAAAAATAGAGTGCGTCTTTTTTATCACACCAATCTACCAATCAACTGGACTACATAACTAAATCTGGCCCTTTTTGCAGTTAACAATGGTGACCTATCACCACATTTCACAATGTAAAATAAACACACAAATCTAGTCTTTTTTTAAAGAGGAAGCAACTTCCCAGAAGACTTCTAGGACTCACGTTTGTCCTCTAGTTCTGGATCTGCACTGATTGCTGCAGCACACTGTGTTGCAAACAACGACAGTTTCTTTCCCTGTTTGTTTTTTTCTAATTCTTTATACCTATCAGGTGCGACAATGAAAAGCTCAGCAATTGGAGCAGTTGCCACAATTGTGTTCCGGTCCACTCCCAGACGTTTAAAGGCAGCTGACATGGTCCCTCCTCTTTTGAACAGCCTCAAAATCCTCTCATACCGGGTGACCACTTGTTTGGGATTCTGGGCTGCAATTTAGAGAACAAATGTGTTATATTGAGATTATTAATTTTATGTAATAGTGTAGTAATGTAACACACATTTTTCTAAATTTACTCATTAACTGCCAATGACGACTAAAGTCGTCATTTGCATTTTCATACTGTGTGGGCGTCGGAAAGATCCCCCGCACCGTGAGAACAGACATGCCAGCTCTACTTTATTACATTTGTGAGTTTTCAAGCTAAGGGTGAAAGCAATCTAAAAACTGGAATTTATGAAAGATTATTTAATTTTAGTCACACATAAGTCTCTAGGGACACTAGAAGGGTTAAATAACATAACCAACTCAGAGGAACAGCTGTACAATACAGCATAGGAGGATCAAATTATAGAAAGATTTAATCACTATACCTCTTGTTCTTGCAGTTTGGTCATGTTTCTTTGACTCCTTATTCTTTTTGGCTTTGCCTTTCTTCTTCCTCTTCTGACTGTCTTCATCTGATGAAGTTGTGCTCGTGGAGGAGTCAGAACCCTTATCAAATGACCCGTCAGAGGAAAGCGAAGACATGCTCAGTACGTCACTGGGATGCTGGACAGACCTTGTGGGTTCTTTTGTGAGACCTAGTAAAACAGTTAAACGGACAAAGTTACAGAACAGAATGCTTATGTAAATGCTAAAGCAGATAAAGTATTTGTCATGCAATGTAATGTTTTTAATAGTGGACTTACATGCTAATTGCTCCTTTAGATAGTCTCTTTCTTTGGCGAGCTCATCAATCTAATCCTTTTGCCACTCTAGCTTCATCTTACAGAGATCCACCTCTTGTGATCGTCGTCTGTCTGTCAGCTGTGCAGTTGGAGCAATAGTCACACCTAGAGAAAATTAAAAACAAAAAGAAACTAGGCTATTAATACAACTAACAACTGATTAAACAACAACTGCAGAAAATGCAATCATAATACAGTTTGTAAAATATGAATAACAGTAAAAACATTGCAATGATTAATACATAGCCTGCTGTGGTAAAATTACAAATTATATTAAGTTGTTTTTAGAAACTTGCTTACTTGACAATAATTATATATTAATGTATTTCAAATATATTGTATTAGACTGTATAATGTAGAGCATTTATTGCATATTTATATTGCATAGACATGCATCAAAAAAGCTACAGAATGACAAACTAAATTGCAGAAAGCACAACTAATAGCAGCCCAGAGATATTCCAAAAGCAATAATCCTTAATTATTCCTTTAACTGGGTCACAAAAATAACTAGTAACATACACTGCACATTGCTTTTGTGGATATCTAAAGCTTGAATGTAGCTGAAAGCTAAGCTAACCTCTTATTAGCGGTTAGCGCCTAGCCCCGTGATGGTAGTTTTTTCCAACAAAGTAACCAAACACAATAAAGTGCAAAACACTCACCACTGGTAACACTGACATCCACCTTGTCCACGTCGTTACTTCCCTTTTTTGCCCTCGTTCGCCTGCCTGTTGTAGATCGACCAGGGCTCGTCATGTTCACAGAGCTAGAGGAAGCCATTACTCCAACTTGGTTATGCCCTAGAGGTGAAAGGGCACAGCATCGCGGTCTCCTATTGGTCACATCGGAAGACGGAAGCAGCAAATGCGCGGCTTTCTCTGGCCAGAAGCGACATTACAGCTCAGAGCTAGCATAACTGGAAACTCATTAAATGATATTTTGGCCAAAAATGGGAAATTTTACACGACTGAAAAAATTAATTAACGAGGAGCTTTCTAGAAGAGGCCCACTGAAGCTTATAAAACATCTTCAGAAGATTAAACTGCTTAAAAGAAAAATGAAATGCAAAGTATGCCACCAGGAAACAAAACTGAAGAAAAGGGTGAACAACGGAGACCGATATGCCTGGTAAGAAATGCATTTTTTATTTTTGCAGGACGCCATAATAACCGGGGCACTTACTGTAAAATGCATTGTTAATATTTGGTTTTATACCTAAATCCTCATTGAAACAGAGCAAACAGGGACATCTCTTGAAAAGGACGTTCCACCCCTAAATACAAAATGCTTTTTTCTTACTTAAGTAACTCACTGCGTATAATGATACATACATTTTTTCATGTTACAATTTTTAAATAGTATCTGTCGAGGAGCAGCACATGGTGGACGCGTTAAACAAATCTCTGTCAGACACAAGTCCCTTTTCAGCCGTTCGAAAGTCTCACTTCAACACTGGATGCAATCTATCCACAGGTAAGCATAAACACTACACAAAAAGGAACTACATTTAAATGACTCTTTGTAAGGATGTTATTTTTCTCCCTGAAGATTCTCTCAGGGTCTCAGATTACGTCACATTGACATGATGGATGACACCATTGCAGGCAGTACGACAACACTTAGTAAAATGTCCAAAACATTAAGGAGGGTATGTGTGGCTGCAGCTGAAAGAATGAGGCGTCGTACAGGTCAGCAGATTGGTGGCCGGAGGGAGTTTGTTGTGATCGATGAGAGTCATTTTCGTCACAAACGAAAGGTAAGTTTTGTAATAGAAATTATATATTACATCTATAGGACAACCTTTCACAGCACTTTTTTTGCCATTCGTCTTAATTGTTTTCTTTCTGCATCAGTATGGGAGAGGAAGAATGGCAGGGGGCTGGAAAAGAAGAAAGTGGGTGTTCGGAATGCTGGGCATAAAAAATCAGCGTAAAACAAGGCCTATCTTGCGTCTTGTGGAGAAAAGATCTCGAAGACATCTTGTTCCTCTGATCACCCTTCATGTCAGGATTGGTTCCTTGGTGATAAGTGATGAATGGCGGGCCTATCGCGTTCTCCCACACGTAGGTTATGGACATTATACTGTTAACCACAGCAGATGGTATGTGGACCCTCTAACAGGTGCCCATACCCAACATCTGGAGAGAGCCTGGTGGTCTTACAAGGAGAGAATTTGGAGACTCCGGGGTAACAGAAATGACAGCCTACTATCAGAACACCTTACAGTTGTTGAGTCGAACGAATGGCTTGCAAAAAGCACAAACAGGGTGCTTTAGGGAGACTGATATATGACATCTAAAAAAAATACGGATAAAGTTACTGTTGCAACTGCAGTTTTTTTTCACCTTTTGAAAATATTTGAGCACTTCATGTAAAAACATACAATTCATAAAAGTGCATCGAGCCTTGTTCTTTACTTCAAATACTGGCTAATAGTGGTTCAGCACAATGTTTGTTTTGACAGTTGTGTGTCAGTATTTGTAAGCATTGTTTTGATGATTTATAATTGGCATCTTAAAAATAAAGTGCTTTCTGTATCCGTGTTGTCCTTTATTTTTGTTACAACGCATTTTGAAAAACTTTCACATTTATTAATAGGTTGTAAGGTATATATAGTCTCCACTTTAGATGAGCTCACTCAAAATGTATTTATAATAACTGAAAGATTATCTATTTAAAAAGAAGTGGGTCGGTAGGGAGCTGCATCTTTGGAAGCCGTTAAGTGTCAATTGTAAATGTATTGTAAGACATCTGTTAACATTTAGTAGCTGACTGATGTAGTCGTGAGATTCAGTGTTTAGAAAACATCTAGTGAGACTCTAGTATGTGTAGTAAATGTTGAGTTTATAGTATTAAATAGGGTATGTTAACTATTTACTTACCCTTTACCAGTGGGGTTGTATACTGTCTTACATCATGAAAGGACTGATTTGTAAATGATGGAGAGCAGAGTTTATAAATGATTAGTCAATGACTTATAGATCATGAAACATCATGAATAAAAGGTGTGACACAGTAGCTTCTTCATCATGAATAAAGCCTTGATAGTGGTGCTTGTAAGCTGTTAAGTAATTATGATCATCTTTTTGCAGATGCTTTACAAATGATTAAATAACCATTAACCAATGCTTTACTGATGATTAACTAATGCTTAATAGTGTGCACTTATTATAAAGTGTTACCCAAGTTTCTTATATAAGGAACCCAGCAGGTTGCATCAAGTCACTGACTAGTGTCAGAGTCTTTACAGCAATCTTCATACTAAGCAAGCATGCAGCAACAGTGGGGAGGAAAACTCCCTTTCAACAGGAAGAAACCTCCAGAGAATCCCGGCTCAGTATAAGCAGCCATCCTCCACGACTCACACACACACACACACACACACACACACACACACATCTGAATATCTAATTTCTTGTCAAAAACCATTTTATAGTTTGGTTTTACTATTTTTACACAAGATAACTGCTTTTGGGATGTCTGAGGTGTCAATTAAACAAAGTGGATTAGTGTGTCAAAGACAATTTACTGCCTTACATCTCTCTTGACACAAAAGGCCTGTTTTCTCCAGTTTTTGTTCAGAAATGGGCATTTCTGGTGAAACCCACCCGTGTTCTGCCGCAAACTGTGAAGGAACGGAGAAGGTTACAAATGAGCCGTTGCCTCCTGATGAAACAAGAGTTAACTCTCTCATTTGGTAGTTTTGATGTTTACATAATCACAGAACACAATATTCTGTGACTCTTCAAAAAACAGTAAAAATACTCAAAATGGCTGGCAGTGACTGAGTTAATGCCATTCAGGTCAGGTGACTGACTAAGCAATTTCCTTTTCTGAATTTCAGGTCCAAAGATGAGAACCTCAGTCTTGTCCTGATTTGAAAGCAGAAAGTTTAGAGTCATCCAATTAAATAAGATTGTTGCCTTTTGATGCATTTTCTTTAAACACTCAAAATTCAGCCTAAAAACATCAGTATGGCATTTTCTTCAGCTTAAAAGTACGCAACACAATGAGTTTGAGTTGGTTTGAATCCACTTTAGCCAATGGCTAAAAAACTATGCTGCTACGTAGCCTACAACAATACTACGTAGCAGCACTGTGGCTGTAGGTTATAAAAGCATTGAGAGTCTTGGTCATGCCTTGTGGCGAGTTGGGAGTAGGATTTGCAAGCAAGTGTGTATGACGATTAACAGGCTAGCCATAATTTGGCAAAACACAGCATAGCATTATAATTATTTAGTGTTAGCTTGGTTGCTAGTGTAGTTTAGTCATTAGCTGTTAGGGTTTAGTGTTCTATATCTGGTATAAGTGGAGTTTATTGTAGGCTACTACTGTGTTATCATAGTAAGAAGGTGTTGCGGACCATAACATCCTTCTGGACGGACTCGCACACTGGTTGGGACTATCAGGAACAGTGCTTGGCTGGTTCCAATGTTATCTCAGAGACAGGGGCCATGTTGTCTTTTTAGGGACCACCAATCAAAGCGGATCGCCATGACATGTGGGGTCCCCCAAGGCTCAATTCTAGGACCACTACTCTTTAATCTCTACATGCTCCTCTTGGGTCAGGTTAGGGCTGGGCGATATGAGAAAAATCTAATATCCCGATACAGGGGCGTAGCACCAAATTCTGGTCCCTAGGTACAAGTCTTCTAGGTGGGCCCCCATGCTCAATTAATATCTCTCTTACACATTTTTTGTCACGCTATAAGACAAGATAATAAATATGATCTCAGTTTAACCTCTATATTGAGCAAATACAAATGCCAGCATAATAAAAGTGAAATGCCCAGACTTCACATATAATTATTTTTATTTGCCAACAATGTGTTCAAACAAAAATCCTGGAATTTATTTTCCAGTAAATGCCCACTGACGGGTCTTCATGTTAGCAAAATCACTTATGAGATCTTTAAAGTCCAATCCTTTGGCTAATTGGCTTTCAATAGAAAGAAGAGCTAGGCTGTTCAGTCTATCCTGGGACATTGTTGATCTCAAATAATTTTTCACCAGTTTCAGTTTGCTAAAAGCCCGTTCACCCCCAGCAACAGTCACAGGTAGTGTGCAAAATATCCTCAGTCCAATACAAACTTCTCCAAAAATGCTCTGTAATTGCATCCTGTAGATGGCATTAAGCAGCTCAAGAGGAGACCGAATGTGTGGGAATGTGGCACCATATATTGTTCTCAGGTGTAGCATCTCATTCTCAAATTCAGCTGTGAGATCCTTGTAATGTTTTCTCATCAGTGCCTGGCATGATATCTTCATCTGCTCTTCAGTCATGTCTGTCATGGTTCATGATGTTAAGCTTTGCTGATATGTATTGATATGTTAAATATGACATGAAATAAACCAGGTTCTCTCTGTGAATGTAATGTACTCTAAATTTTATAATCCCTGCATTATCAGCCAAATTATAAGATTGTCCGTTTTCAAGATCAAATATAAAGAAATTTTAAATAGGCTTAAAATATCTAACCAGGTCAGTAACAATCCTCTAACACCAGTGTCATCATGCTATACGAAAAACAGTGGCAGCTTCTCATTCCTGAGATTACCACGAATCCATCGATACCAAGTTTGTCCTGGTCCATGACTGGGAAGGAGCTGAAATATCCACACAGAGTGAACCTGTTTTTACTGCGAGGTCCGCGAACTCACTGGCGGCGGCCGCCCGCGATAATAATTCTGATTACTATATATATATATTAATTAGTGTTTTCACTGATAACACTAATTAATTTATATTTGATCTTGATGGTGAAACTAAAGGCGTTTAACACTGAACACCTAACATGAATGCAGCTTCTGAGAGCTAGCTAATATCAGCTAAAACTGTGTTCTGCTGCTGCTGCTCACCTTCCTTCTACTTGCTTCTGTTCAATTAACTTTTTCTCCTTCTTTTCTTTTCTTTTCTGGAAGCCAGATTTCCCTTTCTTGGGAAAAGACATGACTGACTCTCCTGCCTCCAGCTCTGGCTGTCGGCATCTGCGATGTCTCATAGCTGTACACAGGGGCGGCGTTAGGCCCGGCTACTTGGGCTGAAGCCCCGGATCTTTCATGATAAGCCCCGGATCTAAATCGCGGAAGTAACATGCAGTACCAAAGTCCAACAGAGAGGGAGCAGCTGGCAGTAGTTTGTATACAGCCTGCCTGAGCCTCCACCACTGAAGAAGAAGCCCTTCAGCAGCCGTCTTCTTCTACACTCTCTGTCTGAAACGCATGAGTGAAGATGGACATAAGGACGTTTTTTAGACCAAAAGTACGACGACAGAACCCCAGCTTTGATGAGACTGGTGTTGACTCAGGTTTGTGAGTCTTATTTGAAAATATCTGTTGTGCTGCTGGTTTGCCTAAAGTTAGCTTACTATCAGGTAAAGTTGTTGGAGAAAGAGCGGGAATATTTACTATCATCTCACACTAAACACTAACAGGAACAATACTCTGCCCTGAATATGCTGAATATGTAGCTTCAGATTAATAATTATGTGGTACAAGATATATATATATATATGATGTTGACTAGTGCGCGTGCGTGTGTTAAGCCCCGGATGTTCTTCAGTCCTAAATCCGCCCCTGGCTGTACATGCGGCCGGGCAGCCCCTGGCCGCTGGTGTGGACTAAACCACTTTGCACATTTTTAAGGGGTGATAGATGCCTCAGAGATTATTCAGTTATTATTTTTAAGGCGAAATTCTGTTTCTTAACCTCTTTATCCAGGTAAAGGGAAGTTTATTAAGACATTAAGTAAGTTGGGGGAAAAAACAACAATAAAAAAATTTTATTCAAAGCTGTCTCAGGGCCCCTCCCTGCAGTGGGCCCTGGGTAAACGGTACCCTTCCCCCCCAGTCCGACGCCCCTGCTCTCACGTAGCGTAACCTCTAGCCACATCCCGCCCAGTCGGATTAGTTCTGTATCCTGTGCGTTTTGTCCTGTGCTTATTCAGCCCTCCCTGTTTACCGCAGTATCTGCCATGGATCCTCGTCTCAGTTTGCCTCAACGTCGCTCACCTCCCCTGGTCGTCCGCTCTCCACAGTCCACCTGCCCTGGATCCTCCTCAACCATCAACCACTCGCCCCCGCCTGACCCCTCTCTGCACAGACCTGACTTGCCTCCCCTTTCAGCCCATTCTCAGCCCAGCACCGTAAGATCATTCCACTTTATTCTCTTGGTTCTCAGTTTCCTGTTTCTCACCCCGTTTATTCTTCTGTTTTAGACCCGGAGTTACATCCTGTCTCGCTAATGGAACAGCGCCCTTAGTTTCCCTTCTAGTTTCTTTAACAATAAACTTTTTATAATTTCTTACCTGTGTTCCCGTGTGTGATTCTCTCATGCGGGTCAGGAAACTTCCACCCACCATGACACCCTATGGAGAGCAGATAGGTGGTGTCACTACAGTTTACAGTGAAGAAGCTAATGAACATCCCAAATGATGATAAAGGATCACCGAACGTGTTACTGGATTAAACTAACTGATGCAATGTGGTCAGCATGTGTGCAGTGGTATGGCGTGTTAACCTGGTCCCACTGCAGTCAGTGTGTTTTAATATCTGAGCAGTTTCTGGTCAATCTATTGGCAGATGGTCCCTGAGCGCTGATTCACCAGAGGAAGGTATCACTGCAGACCCGGAGACCGCAGATTCAGGCCGACTGCAGATTCAGGCCGACTGCAGATTCAGGCCGACTGCAGATTCAGGCTTGTACGTTTTTGAGACAGCGCCGCCCACTGTTTGTTTGCTAGCATTCCAAGATGGAGTACGATCGGATAGAACGTGGAGAACAGTATTTAATTAGTAAAAAGGAAGAAAACCAAAAACATACCATCCAATAGGACCAATAATGATGCAGCTGGGTTTTAAATAAAGTTTTACTTGAATAAAATGTGTTCAGTTCATCATAGCAAAGTTCCACAGCATTCTGCATTGAATTAATGAGCCACGTGTGTTTTGGCCCATCAAGTTGTTACGAGGTGGTTGAGCTAAGGATGTCCAGAACCAGGAAAATTGGAAAAAAGTTTATTTTTTTTCTACAAACAACTTCAATTAGATAAATATGATAAAAGCTTTTATTTTCAGGAGTTTTCACATTTGTATTCAGAGAGCGACTTCACTGAAGCTTTAACAACGAATTAACTATTTTAATAAGCTTCACCAGCATGTGAAGAACATGTTTTTACAGCGAGCAGAGGACGGCTTTCTTTAGGAGGTTGGAGCTTGTTCTCTACCTGCTTAGCTGTTATGTTCAGACGTTACTGAGCTGCAAAGTCCAGCCTGCGGTCTTGCTAACTCTACCGTGAGAAACCACATCGGTAGCGACCCTGCTCTGAGCCTGGTACACATCCGTTCAGAGTCTAGAGGAGTCCTACCTGAGTCCCAGCCTCAGTCCAACACTTAAAGCTGCTGTTGGTTCTCTCACACCGCCTGTAGAAACACTAACACACACCTAAATCCACCAGACACCTACCAGAACCTTCCTCCGGCAGCTCCGTGTTGAGCTGTGCTCTTTCTCTGGAGGCAGCTTCAGGAGCAGTGCTGCCATCTACCGGCCAGGAGCAGTGCTGCCATCTACCGGCCAGGAGCAGTGCTGCCATCTACCGGCCAGGAGCGGTGCTGCCATCTACCGGCCAGGAGCGGTGCTGCCAACTGTTTTTGACTGAAAATTTTCTTTTATTTAATTAAAATGTTTTTATTGTACAAATTCACAAATACAGTGCATATCTTACAAATCAACAAGATATGAACAAGTACAGGTGGTTAAGAACAAAGAACAACATCGAACAAAGAACAACAGAAAAGAACAGTACAGGTCAGAAATAACAGAAAGCAGCATACAAGTACATGAAATGACCTTCCACATAAAGTAACAGAAAAAAAGGTGCTCTGTAGTCTCAACAATTTTTCTCCACATACAAATTCAGTTTGGAACAACAGATGTATATTGCTAAAAAGAAAATCCATTTGTTATAAGGACTGGATGGATCATGGAACTTGGACCGTTTTACACCTGTTAGACAATGATGGCAACGCATTATCGTATAATAAATTCATAGATAATTATGGCGTATCATGTACTCAAAGTAAATTCATTCAAGATGTGAAAGCCATTCCCCCTGCAATGATTCAGATGGCTAAAGCCAGTTTAACCTGTTCTTCCTTCGTGAACCGTCCTTAATTATTGATTATCGTCAATTTAAAGGAAAGTCATGCAATAATAAATTTTTAAGGACAGTTCTAACCAAACAACTTTTTCCTTCTCAATTCAAAAGAAAATATTTGTAATTCTAGGTTTTGATTAAGTATCTTTCTTTTCCAATTCCACCAAAAGCAAAAGAAAATCACTTTAAAATGTTAAATTCCAAATACCCGTCCAAGGACTATCTTCACAAGAAATTCAATATAGATACGAACACATGCACTTTTTGCAACACTGATATTGAGACTACAGATCACCTTTTTTATTCATGTTCCAGGTCTTTTTGGGATGATTTTCAGTACTGGTTAACCTCTAAAAATATTGACTGCCCTTCTCTAACCTTCCACGTAACAAGATTTGGCCTACAAACAGAAAATAAGAAAATATAATTTGGGATTAACAACTTATTTAAAGTTGCAAAATGTTTCATTCATAGATGTCGCTTCTTAAGAACTACTCAGATTTTTGCTGGTTTTAAAAATGAAGTCCTTCTATTGAAGGCTTCATTAGAAAAGTGTAAATGAAATAAAGCTCACATCTTACTTGAATTTTTGATGCTGCTTTTCAACTGATGTAGCTAGACTGTGTGTGCGTACTTTATTTATTTGTTTTATTTCTGATACTTTATGTGGAAGGTCATTTCATGTACTTGTATGCTGCTTTCTGTTATTTCTGACCTGTACTGTTCTTTTCTGTTCTTTGTTCGATGTCTGCTTTGTTCTTAACCACCTGTACTTGTTCATATCTTGTTGATTTGTAAGATACGTGCTGTATTTGTGAATTTGTACATGAAAAAATTTAAATTAAGATAAAAAAAACTTGGTCAAAAACAGTTAGCAGCACTGCTCCTGGCCGGTAGGTGGCAGCACTGCTCCTGGCCGGTAGATGGCAGCACTGCTCCTGAAGCTGCTTCCAGAGTAAGAGCACAGCTCAACACGGAGCTGCTGGAGGAAGGTTCTGGTAGGTGTCTGGGTGGATTTAGGTGTGTGTTAGTGTTTCTACAGGCGGTGTGAGAGAACCAACAGCAGCTTTAAGTGTTAGACTGAGGCTGGGACTCAGGTAGGACTCCTCTAGACTCTGAACGGATGTGTACCAGGCTCAGAGCAGGGTCGCTACCGATGTGGTTTCTCACGGTAGAGTTAGCAAGACCTGCAGGCTGGACTTTGCAGCTCAGTAACGTCTGAACATGGGGGAGACGGGAAGATGGCGGCGAGGGGGTAACATTCTAGAGCGTCTCCTGTTTGAAATTAGAGTCCAACCGTTATAAACATTTTGACACCACGAAAAAACGCCTCAGACACACATTATCTAAAGAACTGACATATTTTTAAGACTGTGGCAGTGGGATAAACTTCGAAAGAAATAAGGAACTGCAACGGAAAACTACTCGGTGAGTTGTAAGCTAGCAGAATGCACCAAGCTAAACCAACAAAGGAGAAAATGAGTCACCAACTAAAAAAACGGAATTCAAGAGAAAAGACTCAACTCCAACTAAAAAGAAAAGTCTGTGTGCATTGCTTAGTGACCATAATTACGAGGCTTCACAGGAGGAAGAGATGGAATCCACCTACCTCCATGACTCTCCATTGAGTAGCCCAGCTCTCAAGAAGCTTAACAGCGGACAAACGGAACCATCCATGTATGAGCTACAGATGACAATTTTAAAAGCTGTAAACGAAAGAGCCGACGAGCTGGCACATCTGATAAGCAGCAACGCAGCAGATATCAAGAAACTGAAAGTTTCTCTCGAGTTCGCACATGAAGAGATAAATGACATAAAATCAGAAAATGCAGCCCTAAAGAAGCAGTGTGAAAAACACCAGATGGAGATAATGTCACTGAAGGAACGGGTGACTGATGCTGAACCCCACAAGCAGAGATGGAGCCTGCGACTCTACTGTTTACCTGAATAGGATAACGAGGTCATCAGACAAAGAGTGGCGGACATCTGTCAGAAGATTTCACCAGAAGTGGGAGCCAAAGCAGCGGAGGGAATCGACATCGCACACAGGCTGGGGAAACGAGCTGACGGCAAAAACCGCAGTATCATCATCCTGTTTGCCTTTCGCTCCGTGAGGGATGAGGTCTGGAGAGCTGCAAAAAACGCTTACCTACGTGAGAAAAGACTACGGTTTGGAGAGGACTTGACTAAAGAAGAAAAAGAGAAGAGAGCTGCGCTGTGGCCCCTCATCGAAAGAGCGCGCAAGGATGGGAGCAAAGCTTACTCTGTGGGAGTCAAAGGTCACATACAGGTGCTGGCCAGTAAATTAGAATATCATCAAAAGGTTGAAAATATTTCAGTAATTCCATTCAAAACGTGAAACTTGTACATTATATTCATGCAATGCACACAGACCAATGTATTTCCAATGTTCATTACATTTAAATTTGATATTCATAAGTGACAACTAATGAAAACTCCAAATTTGGTATCTCAAAAAATTAGAATATTCTGAAAAGGCTGAATATAGAAGACACCTGCTGCCACTCTAATCAGCTGATTTACTCAAAACACCTGCAAAGGCCTTTAAAAGGTCCCTCAGTCTTGTTTTGAAGGCACCACAATCATGGGGAAGACTTCTGACTTAACAGCTGTCCAAAAGACAATCATTGACACCTTGCACAAGGAGGGCAAGACACAAAAGGTGATTGCTAAAGAAGCTGGCTGTTCGCAGAGCTCTGTGTCCAAGCACATTAACAGACAGGCGAAGGGACGGAAAAAATGTGGTAGAAAAAAGTGTACAAGCTCTAGGGATAACCGCACCCTGCAGAGAATTGTGACGACAAACCCATTCAAAAATGTGGGGGAGATTCACAAAGAGTGGACTGCAGCTGAAGTCAGCGCTTCAAGAACCACCACGAGGAGACTCATGAAAGACATGGGATTCAGGTGTCGCATTCCGTGTGTCAAGCCACTCTTGAACATGAAACAGCGCAAGAAGCGTCTCGCCTGGGCCAAGGACAAAAAGGACTGGACTGATGCTGAGTGGTCCAAAGTTATGTTTTCTGATGAAAGCAAGTTCTGCATTTCCTTTGGAAATCAAGGACCCAGAGTCTGGAGGAAGAGCGGAGAAGCACAGAATCCACGTTGCATGAGGTCCAGTGTAAAGTTTCCACCGTCAGTGATGGTGTGGGGTGCCATGTCATCTGCCGGTGTTGGCCCACTCTGTTTCCTGAGGTCCAGGGTCAATGCAGCCGTCTACCAGGAAGTTTTAGAGCACTTCATGCTTCCTGCTGCTGACCAACTTTATGGGGATGCAGACTTCACCTTTCAACAGGACTTGGCACCTGCACACAGTGCCAAAACCACCAGCACCTGGTTCAAGGACCATGGTATCCCTGTCCTTGATTGGCCAGCAAACTCGCCTGACCTTAACCCCATAGAAAATCTATGGGGTATTGTGAAGCGGAGGATGCAATACGCTAGACCCAACAATGCAGAGGAGCTGAAGACGACTATCAGAGCAACCTGGGCTCTCATAACACCTGAGCAGTGCCACAGACTGATCGAGTCCATGCCACGCCGCATTACTGCAGTTATTGAGGCAAAAGGAGCCCCGACTAAGTATTGAGTGCTATACATGCACATTCTTTTCATGTTCATTCTTTTCAGTTGGCCAACATTAGAGAAACAAACATTTTTTCATTGGCCTTTAGAATATTCTAATTTTCTGAGATACCAGATTTGATGTTTTCATTGGTTGTCACCTATAAATATCAAATTTAAATGTAATGAACATTGGAAATACATTGGTCTGTGTGCATTGCATGACTATAATGTACAAGTTTCACGTTTTGAATGGAATTACTGAAATATTTTCAACCTTTTGATGATATTCTAATTTACTGGCCAGCACCTGTAAATGGTGAGGAAATCCACCAGGTACCTGAAAACTGAACTAAATCATTAAAAAAAACTGTACATGGATTGGTCCTGGTTGTCTGTATTTCACATCCTTTCTACACTGACTGTTAAGAGATGCCTGGGTTAAGTTCTCAACAGTGATTTGTTAAACCAATATTCTATTCAATACTCAAATTGTTTTAGACTCTGTCTACATACTAGAAGATCCTAAATGTTTCTTTACACATGTTCAAATAGTTAATTCTATGCTGGATGGTTTTCCAATGCAGTTCATCTGTTACACAAAAAGTTTTAGTTTACTATGTTAAAGGGTCATATACCTAATACAGGAGTCGTTTCATATAGTTGACGTTTTTGGAAAATATTCTGGTAATTTCTCTTAAGTTTTATTTCTGGAGCTTACTCTAATATCGATAAACACCAGGGGTCTGCGAAATACTGTA